GCCACCGCACATGGCTTCCCGCCTCCCCAGGCCAGACCTAGGGAGACCAAAAATGAAATCTCCACCGGGAGACCAACCGACCCCCCGAGCCGATCGAGTCGCTCGGAGGAAACACCAAGTCACAGGTAGGAAGCGAAGGGACGCCCCATGCGGGCCATGCCAACTCCATCCCGAGCGACGAGCACGGGTCCCGGTCGGACGTCTCCGACTGAAGCTCTCCGAGCCCCGTCACTCCAGTCACCGAGGTAAATACTATCAAACCCCCCCTTTATTTCTTTAAAAACATTCATACATCCATACGCGTATTCATTCCATACGCCTGAACCCCCTGGATGGTTACGGCATGAACCGCCCGGGGGCTCGGGAACTAAAGCATCGCACGTGCAGCAAAATGCATCAGAACGCTCTGTGTTGCGTCATGAAGTGGGGTTGCCTCATTCGATATGGGCAACCGATAGAGCCAGGGGAGAAAACCGTAGATGAGCACCGTGCGGCCCTCGCGCCGGTCCGGCAGACTGGGTCATCTCAACCTTCTCATTCGATCCTAAACCTCTCGCCAGGCCCACAGAATCTCCATCGAAGGAGAGGTCGTTAGGCCACCCGGGTCGGTCTCTGGAATGACCTAGGCATCTGTCGGGTTGCAGGTAAAGGAGTAGTGGAATGTCACAAGAGGGCTATGCTGACCCCGTCACGAACGACGGACCTAGATTCCACTCGATCACACCCGTTAGCGAACTTGCCGAGCCAGTCTTCGAGCCCGAGCGATCAGGACAGGCGACGAAACTCAGCCCCTTCGGTCATGAGGAACCGAGGATGGGGTAACGCACAATACTCACATCGACCCCCACAAAGGCCCGATAGGGCTCGGGGGCTCAAGATAAATGCCAAAGGACGACGACCTCAAACTCGCTAGATCCACGACTCTGACTCGCCCGATCCCACAGCGCGCACCGACGCCAGGGTCCGCGAGCATCGCCTCATCCGATCTTTAACCAACTAAGTACGCTTCAGCTTCAGACGGCTTCACTGCACTCCAAAAAAATCTTAGGACCGCAACCCCGAATTCGCGTCGACAGGATCTTTGACATCCGGCTATGGCTCCTGGGACCGTGACTCCTAAACTCGTGTAACGGCTTCACTGCGCTCCAACAAGACCTGGGACCGTGACTCCTAAACTCACGTAACGGCTTCACTCAGGGTCCATGAGCTTCGGCTCGTCCGATTCCTGAACTAACTAAACTAACTCCCGCGATCCACGGCACGCATCGACGCCTGGGTCCATTCGTGGTCCTACCTCGCTCGATCCCATGGCGCGCATCGACGCCTAAGATCAGTAAGCTCTGACATGACCGAGCCATCACCGTCCGTGGCACGCACCGACGCCAGCGGTTTCTCCGAACTAACCTTCTCACGCGATCAACGGCACGCACCGACGCCGAGATCAGAAAGATTTGCCTCGAACCCACGACACCTTGATTAAACAAAACATCTCAAAAACTAAACATACACACACGCCCGCTAAGATAAACACCCCCAGCCGGTTCTACCCGAACTGCCCGGGGGCTCGGGGGCTACACCCGCGAGTGCGCTCGCGCGCACCCACCGACACAACGCAGAAACCCCCCCAGCCAGTTCTGCCCGAACCGCCCGGGGGCTCGGGGGCTACACCCGCGGGTGTGCTCACACGCACCCGGCAGCAAGACAAAAATCCCCCGGACGATTTAGCTCAAATCACCTGGGGGCTCGGGGGCTCCTGTCGGGTTCATAAACCCGGAATCCCTCGGGGACCGGCTTCGACGCCCGGGCTCGGCCCAGGAGAACAACCTGTAGCTCATGGGCCGGCCCGAAAGGTCTAAAAACAACGGGCTGGGGGGACAGATCGGTCGTCGACCGGAAGGTCCGCCGAAAGAACGAACGCCCGCTCGACAACTTCTTCGGCCCACCTCTCCGACCGGAGCGCTCGCCTCGGGCGCCGGCCGCCTCCGGGCGGACTCACCGATCGAAAGGCCTGTCCCAAAACGCTGCTTCCTACTCCGACCCCGCGTCTCCGACCGGGGGCTCGTAGGAAGCTGCTTACCGCTCTTCTCCGACTGGCACGGCCAGTACCGACTGGAGCCATCCGACCGGGGATTCCCACTCGGAAGGGAGCAGGGGCGAACGGAGAAAGCAGCGCACAAAGTCAAAACACGGTACCGGGACCATACCCTATACGCCTGCGGGAACAATGCTCCACAACCGACCTGACACAAGCAGTATGGGAGGTTCCGACATTTGTGCCTACAGTATTGTAGGCGTCGATATTTATGTCTACAGTATTATAGGCGCCGTTGGGGCTCCCATACAGCAAAAAGGCCCCCCACATGCCTCTGGGCATCGATAGTGGGCACCAGGATTTACCATACCTGGTACACGTGGTGGGGGTCCTCATATACTAACAGCATTTCACAGGTACCGACGTCCACCCTTCCTGAATAAGACAACGCAACCCCCCATGTGCACCTGACGTTCTACACGACATCAATAGTGTTACGCGTGCCAACCATCATCATTACCCTCAATCGGCGTGGGCAACAAGACTTAGAAGCATCCGTACTCTCTCCCTCTCACCTGTAAAGCCATCCCCTTTATCTATAAAAGGAGATGCGCTCCCTCCAACAAAGGGGATCAATTTTTCAGAGGTCCACTTCTTCAAGCTCAGGCTCACTAGATCGATAGCTGAGAAACCCCTCAAGCACACGCTTGAACACCTAGCCCATAGCGGAGTTCCGGTCGCCCTCGGCCCTTCCGGTCGGACCCGACCGGGCCTCTCGTACACCCCTCCTTTCTCCTTCTCATTTGTAACCCCACTACAGACTTCGAGTACCTAGGCTCAGGAATAAAGTCACCAACAGACCCACACTGGACGTAGGGCACGTTGCCCGAACCAGTCTAAATCCTGTGTCATTGAGTGCTAGGCCACCTCCGATTACAACGTACAACAAAACTACAAATATTCACTAGTTGGTCACTTTCTGTACCGACACGTAGTCTTCAGGATGAGCTTTTTTCTTTCTGTTCTTAAGTGTAAGCCCTCGAAGAAATCTCTCCTTCAGGCTTGGCTTGCACAATTTTAGTTTTGTATAGTTTGTTTCTCTTTTGTATAGACTTAATATTTATAAAATGAGTTCAGTAGGCGATTCCCCTCCTGTTTCTTAAAAAAAACTTGGGTGGCATCTACTAAATATATGGTGTTAGGGGAGAAAAGAACCCCTCAACTTGTTTCTAATAAACTCTGACACAATACATAGCCCAACAACTTTGAAAGGACCTGATGTCCCATAGAGGAGAGTGAATAAACAATTTTAAAATTTAACAACAAACAAAACTTCGCAGCAGATCAGCTTATTGCAGAACTTCCACGTAATTTTGCGGAACTTCTTCTTCGCATTTTGAGAAGTCTTTATATCTTATTTTTAAAAGTCAAACAATTTCAACTTTGATCAAATAATGTAATCGCATGTTTCTATAGACGCATATAGGCATGATTTTCATACTAATAACCATATACTCCCCATCCTAAAATATAGTACATTGTGACTTCTAAATTTGTACTGAAATATAGAGCATTCTACATGGTGTCATGCCTAGATTTAGCAAAGTTTGTTAAAAAAAGAAAACCATAATTTGAGGAGAAACACCTTAATTGGGTTTAATATGGGTACATGCGTCATTTGAGGATTGCCTTAAGTTGCCTTAAAAATTTCAGAATGCATTATATTAGGGGACAGAGGAGTAAGCATCATTAGATTAATTATGTCATATATTTTTTGTAATATAAGCCTACTTGAAGATACAGATGTTAATACTATTTTTTATAAACTTAATTAAAGGTGGTATTGGTTAACTCCTTGAAATATAAGATGGAGACATATTTTAGGAGAGAGAGAGTACATGATCAAATGCGGGAGGATATGATAGTCATCTTAGGTGCCAAACATTAAGAAAAGAGATTAAGAAATAATAAATAAGACATAATACTATAGAAATCAAACGACCTATTCGCTGGTTGGTTTCTGGGCTGATAAGTCCGGCTGATGCTAGTTTATTGTGAGAGAAAAACACCGTTGACTGGCTCATAAGTCCTGACTAAAACCAACAAACGAACAGGCTGACAGTGTCAATCACATAAATACTAATTTCACAGTGTTAATGTTTGGAGTCCTAAATATACGAAGCCCAACATTTGAACCAAGCAGCACTCGGTGGCTAGCACAACCGGCGCGCGTCTCTCACCGGGGTTCGTCCCCAATAAATTATGTCGCCTCTCATGCATGGAGCTACAAAGGGAATGCCTCGTCGCCTACGGAGCCATGGATGGACCTGGTGATCTTACAAAGAATGCGATGTGATCTGAGTTATAGATTTGTTTGTGTACATGTGGTATGAGTGTGGTGTACGTGTGAATGGTCCATGTGAGTGTACGTGAGTGGATACTCCGGCTATACCAAACGAGAGGCATTAAAAAAACATTTAAGACTAATTATTATGTCATACTTTTAGTGTCTTCTCTTCCAAAACCAAACGCATGAGCCGCGCGACAAGGTATTTCAAGCAAAAGGCACTCACGTAGTCACGTTTTTTGTGTGAAGGCTCAAGGCGCTTTTCGCAAATAAAGGACAACCGCAGGGTAAAAGCGGTAACAATGGACAAAAACTTGAAACAAAAATCTTGGCTTTGACTGTGTACTAATAAACTTTGGCAACCAGCCTCTCGTCGAAAATATTAATTCCAAATCCACCCCCACCACACGCACGTTTCTCTTCTCCTCGACTAGTCTCCAAAAAATTCCCCATCTCCTCCTTCGCCACCGGCGAACCCTGCCTTCCCGTCCTTCCGCGATTCTTCCGCGTCGTGGTAAGCGGTGAAGCTCTGTAAGATTTGCCCCGCCTTCGTTTTCATTCTCTCCAGCGGCGCGAGCTCCCCTCCTAACCCTTTTTCTTCCTTGGTCCTCACCTAGCTACATGGCGGATTCGCGGGGAACAGCTTCCAAGAGCGCTGACAAGGATAGCACCTCCACGCGCCCGGCGCGCCTCCGCGTCTTGCGCCCGGAAGTCAAGGAATTTCTGACAAGTCCTCGCCGTAGCCGCCCCAAGAAGCAGCCGCCTCCACCTCCGCCTCCGCCTCCGCCTCCGCCTCCTCCCCCGCCGCCAAGGAAGGAGAAGGTGAAGGAGAGGAAGAAGAAGGAAAAGGAGAAGGCAGCGACGGGGGAAGAGAAATTCGAGCGCGCGCAATACAACTGCGCCTTCCAGGATGAAGACGAGGGGGGCCGCGACTTCGCGCCGCCGGAGCTGGTCTGGGGTAAGGTGCGGAGCCACCCCTGGTGGCCCGGACAGGTGTTCGACGCCGCTGATGCTTCCGAGATCGCGCTGCAGCACCGGAGGGCCGGCGCCCCGCTCGTCGCCTACTTCTGGGACAGGACCTTCGCTTGGAGCGACCCTTCCGCGCTGCTCCCCTTCCGCGCCAACTTTAGGCGACTATCCGCCCAGAGCACTATGTCCAGCTTCGTCTCCGCCATCGACTCCGCGCTGCAGGAGATTGGGCGACGCGTAGAGGCTGGCCTCTCGTGCGGTTGCTTCAGTTCCAGCATTGCCACCAAGCAGGATGTTCAAAACTCTGGTGTCCGGCAAGGGGCTTATGGTGCAGCGGTAGACTCCGTCTACACGAGGGATGCCTTCCATGGCAAAACATTTCTTGACTACATCTCAGCACTGGGAAAGAAACCACTGGCCGGTGCTGATCTTCTTGACCTTGCCACCGCCAAAGCACAGCTGAGGGCATTCAATCGCTCAAGGGGTTTAAGGGACCTCCCTGAGTTTGTGATGTTTGAGGGCATTGAGGAGATTATAGAGATGACACACACAAAGGGAGAAAGGATGCACAAGAGGAGTGAGGATGATGTTCCGAGCAAGGAGAAGAAATCGAGGCATGCTGGGAGTTCACGTAGAAAAGGAGAGGCTTTACCAGAGGCTGTAAATGAAGATGCTATGGATGAAGACGGCAATGGAGGGGCGGCAGATGATACATTGAGTCAGGGGAAAAAGTCAAAGCGCATGAAGAGTTCATCGAAGAAGAAAACAGACATTTCCAAACATTTAGATGGACTCAAAACTGGTTCTGTTGCTGACAGCAGAACACTGGACAAGAAGACAGTAGATGATGTTTTGAGCGAGAGAAAATCTGGGCGCACGCTGAGATCCACGAGCAAGAAGGAAGATGCTTTAGAGGGTTTGAAAAGGCTGGCAAAGGATGGAAGTGAGGAATTAACAGGAAAAAGCAAAGATGCCCCCGTTCTTAAAGAAAACAATCAGAGGGATGGAGCAGGCTCTGCACACAAGAAGGGTAGAATCACAGAGGATGGGTATCATAGACTTGGAGATCGCAATGCCGAGGATCTCACTTCTCCTGCCAAGAGAAGATCGGGGCATAATGAAAACTCAATGAGCAAGCGAGTGTCCATCTCGGAGCATGGTAGGAAGAAGAAGAAACTTTCTGAACTCATGGCAGAGACAGGCAGGCCTAATTCTGCATCTGGTGGTAAGGGCAAAACTCGAGGGAAGCGTTCGTTGCATGATTCAGCTGAGAAAGCTGAGGATCCTGATCGTCACTCTAAGGATATATTGATGACTAGGAAAAGAAAGAAGCTCAACACATTGGGGGATGTGTCTTCACAGTCAGAGCCTCTCTCTCGTAAGAAGTCCACAAAGGTTGGAGAACTGATGAGCAAAGCAGCTGGGAGCAGCATGTTACAGGCAGCACCTGCTGTCAAAGCTAATAGTGCAGTGTCTCAGATGAAACCACGTAGGGCTAAGCACAGGCAAGTAAATCCTGAAGACAAATCTCCACGTCCTGTGAAGGTGAATCAGGGGAACAGCGAAGCCATTACTGAGGAGTCCCTATCTTGTGGAGAAATGTTATTGCAGCTCTCAGTAGCAGCATGTGGTCTTAAGCAGAGAGAGAAAATCGCTCCTACAAGTGTTAACTTCTTTACCGATTTTAGGAAGAACTACAATTTTTCTAGTTCTGATGTCAATGAGGGGATGCCTGAGAAGGCAACCAACACTGAGTCCACTCCTTCAGAACAGCCCATTGCTGATCATATGCAGGATGACTATTGGGCCGACATTCTCATTAATGTGGAGGAGCCGCTATCTAGCCTCAAAAAGAAGAAAGATGAGAGTAAGAAAAGAGCAAACAAGAAGGCACCTCAGGTTAAGAAACCTCCTATTAATTCATCGGCCACTGCAGAAAATGCAGACGAGCCAAGGAGTGAAGGCAACCAAGATACAGAAAATGGGGAAGAACTTAGGAACGAAACCAAGCTGTTTTCTGCAAATGGATCTCAACCGAACGCCGGAACCAAATCTGGTGAAGAGATGGAAAATAGCTTTCTATCTGGACTGGTGCTGCACTTCAGCAGGCCAAGTGCTGTTCCATCACGCAGTGACCTAATCAAGATCTTTAGCCAATACGGTCCTGTCAATGAAGCCAAGGCAGATGTTGCAAACAGTGCCAGCTCTGCTCAGGTGATCTTCAAGAGGCGCATGGATGCTGAGGCAGCATTTGCAAGTGCTGGGAAGATCAGTGCCCTTGGACCTGCCCTTGTGAGCTTTCGTCTCACCGACTTCCCAGCTAGTGCTTCAGGAAATAAAGCTTCCCATGTTGCATCAAAGAGCGAATAGAGTGTTGCATGACCAGTGAGGTAAAAACGGCTTTCGCCTCTCTTCCCCAGTTGGGTTTGAGTTTGACAGCTGCTGTATATTATCTTATGCACATTATGGTGTCCTCTTGTTTTTGTAGGGAAACCGGATGAGGGAGTTAGAGAAAAAGGTATACTCTACTGTATGTGCTATGTGGTAGCTAGGTTGTTGAAGGATTGAGAGCATTCATAGGAACAGCAAATGGCATCTTTGTCTTCCAGTGTTGTGGAGGTGTCATATACTCTAGTGTCATTTATGCTGCAGATCAGTTGAGATGAGTTGCCAATAACCAACAGGTGTTGTAAAAGCATGCTTGTTTTAAGCTGAGTTTTTGTACTTAAAAAGTTAACTCTGTTTCTTAATAATCCAAGTGGATTTTGATGCGGGTGCAATTGGATGTATCCTATACTTCATGTGGTAGTATTATGTTTGTGCGTGCTGAGCGAGCACCTGGTGTCTAGCAGTCCATACTGATGGTTCGTGTATTGGGCTAGGCTGGAGTGGTTCCGATTCCATTGATATTTATCAATGCATGCACATATTCAAAGCTTTATTTGATCTACCTTAATGTATCGAGACGGAGTAACAAGTATATCTATATAACAGATCTCTTTAATTAATTATGTACCAAGTACTTCATCTATCTTTCTCTTGCAGTTTGGAAATTTATTTTCCCTGTCCCAATTGAAAAATACCAGACATTAGATACTGAATAGTACTAGTACAGTTTTTACTTCACACTATCAACCTTGTTAATATATCCTTTTCCCAGAAGCATATTGAAAATGGTACATGTTTCGATTCCATTGTAGTATCGACATCAGTTACTAATATTTCAATAATAATACTATAACTTAAGAATCAGGCTTGTATGATATGAAACATAAATGATTGAGATGCACATACATGTTATCTTTTGAAGTGAAGAAATGACTGAGCTAGGATCCAAGAGCGCTAGAATTTGGCAGAATCCGCATATGAGGTAGGTATCTGTTAATTGTCTTCACCCTGAACCAATGCTTCCGATTATTCACTTTGTCCCCAAATAAATCAATTTCTTAAGTGTGATTAACTTTATAGAAAAAAATAACAACATCTATGACATAAAATTAGCATATTATAAAAATATATTCTATGGTAAATCTAATAATACTAGTTTGATATCATAAATCTTGATGTTTATTTCTACAAATTTGGTCAAAGTTTAACTTAAGACGACGACGATAACAACAACAAAGCCTTTAAGTCCCAAACAAGTTGGGGTAGGCTAGAGTTGAAACTCAGCAGAAGTAATTAAGGTTCAGGTACGTGAATAGCTGTTTTCCAAGCACTTCTATCTAAGGCTAAGTCTTTGGGTATATTCCATCCTTTCAAGTCTCCTTTTATTGCCTCTACCTAAGTCAACTTCGGTCTTCCTCTGCCTCTCTTCACGTTACTATCCTGGCTTAGGATTACACTACGCACCGGTGTCTCTGGAGGTCTCCGTTGGACATGTCCAAACCATCTCAACCGGTCTTCCACTCTGATTTACAGGAGCTTTAGATATTCCGTGGTTGCAACATGTTCAGCTCAAAATTCTATCTTTACTTATGCATATTTGAGTCCCGTGACTTAGCATTGATCTAGGTAGGTCTTAGGGGGAAACTATTTAAACTGTACTCCTAAACAGATAAGATTAAAAAAAACTTGAAAAACTGCACTGTTACTGTTGTTTTATCATGTTGCACATAGTATCAAAACTGTATCATACCAGGTCTCATTTCTCATTTCTATTAACAAGATTGGGAACTAGACAATTAATGAAATTAATAGATTGTATCAAAGTTCTTTCTGTATTTTACTATGTTTCTCTGAATCTACACTATCTGCATGCAAAGCCATTAGTGAAAGTAAGATCATTTTCAGCGTCTCTTAAAGCAGCTAACATCTGCCCAAAAAGAACTTTTCTTTTCAATAAACCCAAATCTTCATAACTATTTATTTTCTAGATATATGCTACTTTTAGTTCATGAATAACTTATCCACAAACATGCCGTAGGTCCATGATGTTACTTAGTTACAAAGCATAGAGGAGGTATTGTCCACTGTAAGTAGATCCATGAGCATATTATCATTGACATCAATTTATTATTTCTTTCTAATGCTGGGCTTCGTACCAAAACAAGGAAGGAGTAAGACAAACAATAGGGGCTCAAGGTAAATATCTGCTGGATATAGCAAAGTAGAAGGTTGTTGTCTTGTCAGAAATAACACTGCATCTAGAAATAACAATACGGGTTCAGTTAGTTTGAGCACTTGAGACTTGTCTACGATTCGCGTTGCATCCCCTGATAGTACTATACTCAAGATCAAGAGAACATAACTATTTCAACCACTTGAGTTTCCAATATCTTCGATATGCCATTTCTTCTCAATATCACTTCATAAGAGGTTGCAATCATCTTTGTCTCATCTCTTCGATCAAACACACCTTGAGCATGCGACTTGAATCATTTCTAGACATATGAGTTCACCTCATGGCTTTAAGTCACTTCTATTAATGATTGATCCTCAACACAATATGACTCCTCATAGCTCGATTAGTTCTTCGACTCAATGCAAGTACTCTCTTCTTCACCTTAGCCATGGTACCTTAGATCCTCAAGCCATCGCTTGCCCTTCACCTTCACTTAGTCTCTTGAAGCCATTTTCTTGCTATCTTCACGACTTCATTCTATCGAGCCATACTTAAGTCACATCATATTAAGCATCCCTTGAAAACCATTTCTTTAATATTGTGATCCTTACTTGAATATCTTTTAGATATGAATGTTGAGATTAATCAAGCTTCAGTTTGATTCACATAGAGACGTATATGAATCAACATCAATATGGTCAAACCAATTCACGATTCCTTTTATCCTATTCATTTTGGCTTGACACTCCAAACACTCACTTCAATATTTATCTTTCTACTTCTAACTTTCAAATCAATGCAAAGTGATTTTCCAAATCTTTATCCATAGAAGCAAACCAACTTATATCCAATAATATGAGTTGTGTCCATCGTTAACCTTTCCTTGGTATTTCCTCACTTATGCATTCTTGATTCATTCTTCAACCTTGATCAAAGCTAATTCACTATCAAACTCTTTTTGTTCGTGAAAAGAAAGCCATTATTATTGAGACTAATCCAAAATCATTATACTATGATATCCCACAACATAGAAGTCATTTCATCAACTCCATTTACATTGTTGTCTTTTTCTTGAATTAGATTGTTTCCATAGTCTTTCAATACAATAATACACAATTTAGCCTTCATTTGAACATTGTGTGAAATACAATCAGGCTTGCCTTCTTGTTGAACCTTTGATACACATCTTGTTATGCAATCTTCATGTGTATGCAATATACTCAATTTTCTGTTTAACACTTAGCAAACTTGTTAAGCCTTTAATTGTATTGTCATTCAATCTGCCAAAACTCACTAAAGGGCTAGATACACTTTCACTCGGGCATGCCTGCTGTGAAGAAGAGGAGCGTGGAGCCTTGGACGAACACCTACATCTTGGAAGCGGGAGATTTGTGTATCTTTGATTTAGGGGGACGGGGTTGCCCAAAATCTAAAGGAAATATACCCCTCTGGGGATGACTCTGTCCCTCCGCTCCTCAACCAAACACATACAAAACTATGACCATCCCAACATGTTCTCTCTCACCCTCGAAACTAAACGCCACCTTAGATAGCCAAACAAATAAAACACAACTAGATCCTGTTGGAGTATGTTAAGAATCACTTCTCTATTTACACCGCGAGCGATTTAGGAGATTATAAAACCCACTCTTCATTTTTTGTGAGGGGGGATTAAATAAAACTCATCATAGTATATTCCCAAATTACATATGAAAAAATCTAAAATAAAAATACATAATATTTTATCCAGATTCTTCTATCGTCTTCTTCCCTGGTGGCTTTCATCAATGAATCAATACTCTAGATGAACAAAGCCTCGTGGAACATCGAAGCCAAAGTGCAGTCCTTACGCCGAATCCAATAATTAACCCCAAAACATTGGACATGCCGTAAGAACCAACGTTTTGAAACCAGTCCAAAACATAACTGGATCGATGAAAGAACATCGACAGTTGCATTACTGGGTACAACATATATAGGCTACAGATTCATTACCTATAATCCTTGATTTCCTCTCTGCGACTATTGACAATGAGATCGAATACTCGAAGAAACTATCCTCGTTGGGAGTGCCTAGAAGATAATGGCCACATATTAGCCGTCTATCAATGAAATCAATGCCTATAATAGCAATATCCTCATGGCAATCACCGAAATCATCACATGTTACAAGATCCTGATCAGAAATCATCTAATTTCACTGGTGGATTTGTTTGGACTAAAACTAAACGAACTAGATCTAAATAACTGTTGTAAACAAGAGATAGGTCCCCTCTCAACTAGATCTTAAAATCTATTGTAAATAAGAGATGGATTCCCTCTCCTTATTGCCATCGACGGACTTGCTGGAGTCCAAAGAGGAGGAAGAAAAAGAGGATCATCATTTTCCGTCTATTCATCCACAAGAACCACTCTATCAGAGTGAGGGAAACTTACCAAACTAAAAAAGGCTTTATAACACTCTCATCTTTTCAAATTATAAGTCGTTTTGACTTATTTTGGTACATTTATTTTGTTATATACCTAGATATAACATATGTCTAGATACATTCGGGAAAAAAAGTCAAAGCAACTTATAATTTAGAATTGAGGGAGTAGCTTTAATATTGTAATAAACACATTTTATTAAATGAAGCTTACAAAACTAAAAGTAGCTTTAATATTATAATAAATACATTTGAGACGGTGGCTCGGATGAGAGAGCAAAGCAATGTATAGACGCAGCGCAAAGTGACTGTGCATGACGGATGTATGTAAAAGGCAGGCGGTAGCTTTTCTCTGGCTGCTGAATGCAGTACGTAACTAA